GCTCTTTCTATCGAATTGGAAGAGGGAGACGTGGGTGGACCACTTGCGGGAAAGACTCACACCAAAACGCAGTCGTTTGCCTCGGCGGAACGTGCGAAGTAAAAAGATGTCCACTGGTCCACTGACTCCCGAGCCGGGAGTCACTGGACTTTTTTCAGGTCAGCCTTTTTCCACCTCTTCCACCACTCCGGGTGTCCCCAGTCACCCAGTCAAGAACCTGCTGGTGATCCACGTACTGAAAACGTACTTCCTTCACATATGGAGAAACAAAAACAACAGCGGTTAGAAAATGTTAGAACCAACAGAACAGTGGTTGCCAGATGCTTTGCCGTAGCAAGCGGATGGACCCAATCATGGTCGCTTTGCTTTTTGTCACCGAACGCTATTCATCGTCCTTCGAAGGAGGGCGCCATCGCTTCTTGTCCATGGCGACAATCTGCCAGTCTGCTGCATCCTCACCCAGTAAGATCCGCTTGAAGGTCCATTTGTGCAAGCGTCGAACTTCCCACCAAACACTTTCGTCCTTCAAAGAGGTGTACTTCTCGGTGACGCGGAGCAAGGGTGTGACAAAAACAGCTTCGAAACCTTGGTCATCCTCCTTTGCCATGGCGTGAAATATGCCGAGATAGTACACCTCTACGAGCTCATATTTCAAGCCCTCAGTGAGGTGTGCATGACTGCTTCGAAGATCCTCCAGCAACTTCTCATCCAAGAGCTGGCGCAGTAAAAGGAAGTCCCCTTCGTCCAACAAGCTATTCACAGACTTGAATGCGGTCACTGTCCCTTCTCGAAAATCACGCGCACTCCAGGTCTCTGGGTAGACCAAATCCAAAATCCTGAGCTTCAGGGAGCTCAGCAAGTGTCGCACATTGATCGTGAGCAGGTCCGCCGTTCCCGCCAGACTTCTGTGCACCTGTGGCACCTGTGGCTGCTGCCCTTTGAATCGAAGCTGCTGGAGCAAACTTCGTGACGCTTGGACCAGTGGCACCGCAGCCGCACCGCGTCGAGCAAGCATTGTCAGGCCAAAAGAGGCCGGTTGCAACGCTAACTCGATGAATGGCGAACGTGAATTACATCTTGACCTCCTACAAATGTCATCGGCACTCCAAGAAAAATGGCTGGTCAAGTTACAGGTTGATTGAACACCTTTGAGTGAAGACAAAACATCTACTAACCTATTGAGAGGCCTTCAAAGTACAAACCTGTATCTACCAACAGGATCCAACAGGCATCTATGATCTCCTTTTCAGAAATATGTGCTCCAAACCCAAGTTGTGCACAGATGTTTGCACCCAACCCATCCATGGAGGCATATGGAGGCTATGCTCAATACATCTCAATACGCCCGAAACCACCTGTAGGCCGGAGATGGCTGGAGGGAGCACCGCTGAATTCCAAGGTGCCGAAACCACCCCATGCGGACTGACGTCGGCGCCTGACACGTTGCTGAGCGTCGTTCCTAAGGGTTGCAGCGGCCCCGGGCAGTGGGGGGTGAAAGGCTCATCATCGGCCTGTTCAAGTGAGTGAAAGTATCTAAATCAGTGGTCGGGGGAATTGATGTGGAGTGGTCAGGTCCGAGTCCGCATACATCCGCAGTGCTTCCGTGATCTCAAGGGCTGATGCTGGCTGGTGCTTCACCTCTACTCTGCCAGTACCCGTCTGTATCACGAGCCGACTAGACGTAGACGTAGAGGGTTCACTCACCGCAGGTGTTTACCAGTAGCAGCCTCGCTCTTTGCGTGTTTGGGCACAGTGATTCAACAGCATTCTCTCTTTGGGAACCTCAGCGGAGTCGCAGGACAACCCCTTTCAACCGCGACTCCTCGGTGCAAGGTCGAGGTCCACGTTCGCCCACCGGCCGGGCGCTCACCCCCTCCACGGGAGCCCAGGTTCTTTCAGCAAAAGACCTCGTTCGCCAAAGTAGTCCCACCTGCGAACGGGGGCGGGGCACGGGAACGCCGAAGGAAGGCCTGCTGGGAAGTGTCGGAGAGATCCGGCACCCTTTTTGAAGAAGAGTCAGGAATTTCCACTAGATAGGAGTAGGAGATATCCGGAGACATATTATATGTACAGTGTACAGTACATTTCAGAGATAGCCTGTTTCTGACATCAAGGTAAGTGCACTTCATAAGTGAAATACGCATGAATGATCCTGCTAGGAGAACTGGGTGTGCATTGAATCTCGGGCTCACTTTAGCTCTTGATAAGCTGAAGCTTTCATGGATTTTGATACACATTTGTGCACATTTGCTGCTGCCCCTCACTTCAGCAAACACATGCAATGCAAAGGGGTGGACTTTTCTCAGTCACAGCCCCCCACCCATGAAATGCCTGGGAGCTTTGGAGTGCCACGGAAGGCACCAACACTCCAATTGCAGAACACCCCAAATTTCCAAACAGTGTATATATTATATAGTATATATAGACCCTTGATTCTCTTGATCAATAGAACCCTCATGAATCATGATGAATCATGATGATTCATGATGAATCATCAAGAGGCTTTACAATCCAAAAAGTTTCATCGAGGAGAGTTACAAACAACATCAAATGCCTCCCACGCCTGCCCAGCGTGCGGAGCACCTTGCCATCCTTGCGCACCTGGACGGAGCAACCGCTCTCAGCGTCCATGAGCGTCGAGAGCCTCTCGACGCTCCTGGACTTCAGGTCCACTGCGTGGTGGAGAGGATGCACCGTTCAGGAGTCATCAACATGGTTCCGTGGATGGCACCACCGGTTCGGTGTTCGGATTTCGTGATCATCAAAGGGGGTAGTAGTAGTAGTAGTAGTA